ATGAAGAAAGGTGTTGTGACCTAGAAAGCATCAACAAGTTTTATTAAATTGGTAAAATTTATATAAGTTACTTTTAAGGACTATTGTCCGAGAAATGTTGGAAAAAGGTATTTCATTTCATTATGTAGGTGTATCTTCAAGAGACATACTCAATGACGTCGAAAAACGAATTGATCAACCCAAATCGGTGAAACATGAGGAGGAGAAAGTTAACTATCATGAAATGGATAAGATGAAATTTCAATCAAAATGAACGATCATCAAATAAATGGCCTTCTTGGATTTATTACAAGTCATACTTTTGGGTACTTTGTCAAAGTGAAAAGTGGTAAGATCGTTGTTGTCAAAAGATCTTGTGTCACATTGTTACATTTGTTTGAACTGTCGTTCGAAAGTTCCTTGTGAAATGCAAAGTGCACCCTCCATCATATTGCATGGTGAGGTAGTATCGTTTCAGATTTTGCTTTGTAAGTAATTCCTTCTTTTACCTATTTATTTTTCAAATGTATGTGTAATACGGCGGGAGAACTAACTTGGTTTTTCATTTTATTGCAAATGTTGTGGATAGCAAGAGTTGCCACCGACTTTTCTTTTATCCAATAAGGAAAGGGTGAAAAGAACAGAAAAGACCTTTGAGAATTTTTGAGTTCGTGTGGCAGGTTATGAAAAGAGAAGGTGTTAGCACCCTTTTCATCCGTAGTTATCTACTGGCTTTTAATCGCTAGCTCACTTTGTTTAAAAATACTCTGTGTTTGTGTTTGAAAATATTATGAAAATGCCTAAGTACGACAACTTTGTAATGATTCTTGTATCCGTTAAGAATGCGTACGAAGTGTTTGTTTTTTGAAAATATTTTAGAAAAAGTGTTTGTGGAAAAAGATGTTTTGTTTTTGTGAGCAAGCGATTACAAGCGATCTACCTACTCAAAAGTCTTTCATGTTATTTTCCTCCTCCTTTAGATAATGCTACCCTACCATTAATTAGTAGGCATCCCTATTGTTGGATGTGAAGGGACAGACGAGGGTCGTCGTATAGTCATAGAAGGCAACTTGTAGGGGCGCTTTAGCAATTTATCGTAAGGGACTAAGATCCTTTACCGAAGGCAGCATCGAAGGGTCATCGAGAGAATATGATCTTTTTAACCGAGGGTCTTTGCTAAAGTGTCCCCACGTTCGAGGGACATGCCTGTTTAATCGAAAGGCAACAAGAGAGGTTACCCTAGAGGTGTGTGTGAAAAGTCTTTTAATTCAGTTATTTTATCTTTGGGAATTAGGGTTTTCTAAGTTCAATTATTAGTCTTGCCATACAAACCCTAATTACTAGTAAGATAATATAATAATAATGAAAAGTAGTAAAGTGAGGGAAATAAAATTCTACGCTATTACAAGATGTAATACAGTGGGAGAACTGACTTTATTGGTTTTACATTTTATCGCAAATTTTGCAGTTAGCAAGAGTCACCATCGACTTTTCTTTTATCCAACAAAGGAAAGGGTGAAAAGAACAGGAAAGACATTTTTTAAATATTTTGAGTTTGGGGGGTAGGTTATGGAAAGGGAAGGTGTTAGCATCCTTTCCATCCGTAGTTATCTACGAGCTCTTAGTTGCTAGCTTACTTTGAAAATGCTTCTTTTTTGTGTAAGTGTTTTTGAAAATATTTTTGAAAAGATTCCCTAGTGCGGCGAACTTTGTAACGTTTCTCATATCGTTGAGAACGTATACAAAGTGTTTTTTCTTTAAAAATATTTTTGAGAAGAGTTTGTGTATGTGTGAAAGATTATTTTGTTTGTTTTTGTGAGAAAGCAACTACGAGCTGTCTACCTACTTGAATGGTCTTTATTCTTTTCCTCTTTTCCTTTTGACAGTGCTATTCTACCATTAGTTAGTAGGTAGCCCTATCATTTGATGTTTTAAGGGACAATCGCGGGTCAGCATACAATCATAAAGGTAACTCGTAGGTCACTTTAGAAATTTTATCGTAAGGGACTAGACCGTATACCGAAGGCAGAATCGAAGGGTCATCGAGGGACTACGATCTTTTTAATCGAGGGTCTTTGCTAAAGTGTCCCTTGTTCGAGGGACATGACTTTTTTTCTGAAGGCAACAAGTGAGGGTACCCTAGAGGTGCGCGTGTGCGAATGTGTTGTGTTTCAGTTATTTGTCTTGAATGTTAGTTTTTCTAGCGTTTGTTTTTAATTCTTTCCATGCAAGCCTATTAGCATACATCTAGCAGTTAATATAGGTACGGAAAATAAAAATGCGGAAATTTGAATCTACGCTATTACAATGCTTCGGGATGGGGGGAATTACAAACAAAAAAATGGGGGAAAGACAAAGTAAAAAGGTCCTAGTTAAAGTCTATTACATCCCATGTACAATTACATAATTGTAAAAATAATGTGAACAAAAATAGATAAACGCGCGGGGAAGAAAAAAGAAAGATGTAAAGAGAATCTAAAAAATCTTAAGTGGTAAAAAGAAAATGTTTTTGTTTTAGGAAAATATTTAAATTAAATTTATGGAAACCTAATTATAATTAATTAATTAATAAAAGAAAGAAAGTGATTAAAAATAATTAATTGACAAAACAAAAGTTTGAGGAAAAAGGAAAAAAATAACAAAACTTACTCCCTGCCTGGATCGAACCCAGGACCTAGCAGAGGTAAGCCTTAAGTGCACATGTGTTGCCACTGGGGTGGCGTGTTCATCCGTTAGTACAAACAAAGCAAAGCATTATATTAAAAACTCGTTTCAAAATTATTTAAATAACAAAGCACGCACCCGGTGGGTCCCCTGTTGTTTAAATGGACGAATCGAAGAGTTGGGTTTTGACACGCAAGCTCCTACTGAGGTCAACTAAAGTCAGAGACACTGAATTCAAATTTCGATCGTCTTCTCCGATCGGACAATCTAAAACCTGAAAAAACATTAGATTCATGACTAACAAAAGGCCTATCCTATGTAAAAATACGTCCTGAGTTTGAATCTGGGCTTAAAATAAGCAACCCGTTCCTGTATCATCTGATTCGCACACGAATTCAGATAGTGCCTTAACCATGGCACGATCTCATCCATGCGTCTAAACTTGCATGTAACACGTTAGTTCTCATCTAAATATCATCAGTAACATGAATACATGCGTAACATGGATTTAAACTACAATATTTAAAGATTTTGAGAGAAAGATATTTTACCACACCGTTGAGTTCGTATGAAGGGCTTTTGGGACGTCGGAGGCTTGAATTTAGGCTCTGGAGGGGTCCTGGGATGCTCAAGAACATGATTGCGTGACTGGTTTTGATGGAGGAAGGCTGGAAGATCTACTTTCAAAGTTTGCAACTTTGAGATTTTTTTTATGAAATTTGGTAGAGCTTCTCTAGGAAATGTATACCTATGCCTTTGCTTGCATTGTATTGAGTATTTTTAGAGGAGTGAGGAGAGCAGACCAATATGGCAAGGAATCAAGCTTTCAAGGCCATGAGACAAAAAATACAACATATTGAAAGTTGGCCATATTTGAATGGTTCTTGCTAATTACATTTTTGCATGAACCTAGACAATTTTTGTTGGTCTTTGCACGGAATATTGGGCTCCATGATGGGTCAAGTTAAGCTCAAATACATTATCCCATGTTTTAAATTAAATAAAATCAAGATAAATATAAATAAAAAAATTAAAATCAAGGTCATGCAAAAATGAACTTAGATGTCCTCTAAGATGTTATGGACATGTTTGAACATCAAAAACTAGGCTCTTAGGTTCAAAAATACAATTTTGCTCAATTTGTACTTCATGAATTCCTTCAAAATTCCATAACTTGTGAAACTCATAACTTTCTCAATTTTAATCTTTTTATGATGATCTAGAACTTTTTGGAAAGCCTAAGATGTCCTCTACAATCTCTATGTTTATCATTTTTGCGTTTGAAGATATTATCTTGATGTAAGTTGCCTTGACAAAAAGTGTCTCTTGTTGACTTTCGTAAATGACCTATAACGTATGAGATAATATCTTCAAAATGAAGCATTTTTTGGACTTGAGAATAAAATCAAAGTTGTAGAGAATTGAATTTCCTTCAAAATAGGCTTTGGTTGGGAAAAATTTGATGAAGCATGTAAAAGTTATGCCTGGTCAAAGTTCAATTGACTTCTCCTAAGGAAACCCTAATTTGACAATTTTTGACTTTTGATGATTTGAGGGCTTTCCTTGAGGAATCATGATCAACCCTTGATCAAATGATGAATATCACCAAAAATCTTGAAGTTTGACTGTATGTTGACTACAATTGAATTTTTGACCAATACAGTTGATTTCCAATCATCTGAGCCATTGACTGAGCAAAATTGTGATGTAGGGCTTGAAACTTGACATGAACCTTGTTAAGGACCTGTGAAGAACCATGGAAGCCACTTGAGACTTTTGCAAACCAAATTTTCTTGAGAAATTCCAAAATTTAGTTGTAGGATTTTGGCTTAGGAGGAGCATCTTGACTAGTCAACCCTTGAGTGTCCTGAGTGTCTAAGAAGCCTTGGAAGAATGCCTTGAAGAAAAATGTGAGGGAAAATTTTTGGGTACAACAACGGCCCCCGTTCAATCTTCTTAAACCTGAAAAGTTAGATTGGCATGTCTGCCTTTCGTGACTTAAAGGTAGAAGATGATTGAACACTTAAGTGCCCAAAAATTTGCACTCACCTGTGCAAGATGGTAAAGTTGTTGGTTGATTGTATTGGGAGTGGGCTTATAGATGCAATTTGGAGACGTGATAGAGAATCATTGGAGATGGGCTTATAGATGCCATCCAAATGTGATGGAGAGTCATCGGAGATGGGCTTATTGATGCCATCCAAAGTAACTGTTGATATAAGTATAAGAATAAGTCTATGCTTGACTTGGTCTTTAGGAGATATACCCGGAAGGGGTCTATGCCCGACTACTACTTCAATAGGTAATGGAAGGAGTCTACACCCGACTACTACTTCAAAGGGTACCATAAGGAATCTATGGTGACTACTACTTCACAAAGTAGTAGAAGGAATCTATGGCGACTACTACTTCAAAGGGTACCAGAAGGAATCTATGGCGACTACTATTGCAAAAGGTACCAGAAGGAATCTATGGGGACTACTACTTCAAAGGGTACTGAAACAACCGACTGAAAATCATCAAACAATGAAGTCGCCACCAAACATCTTTTATCCCACATGAAGGGAAAGGTAAACATCGAGAAAACCTGAGAAGGGAGAAGTCACGGTCTTGCGATCGAGAGATCGGGTAAGGGAATCTGTTATGCGAGGGGAAGGTATTAGCACCTCACACGCCCGTAATACTCTACGGTATCCACTCTTGTTATTCTAATCTTATGGATGTGTCTAATCTATGCTTACTGTTTATTACTAAGGAAGAATGCATGCAAAATAAAGGAGAAAAGAATGTAGGGAAAATAAAGTTGTACTCGCTTGGGCCCTACCCCAATGCCTACGTATCCTTTTTGAGGAATCAGAGTTACCGTAGTTCGGCTTCAAAAGTTTTTGTTGGTTTGTATTTTTAATGAACAATATTAATTTCGCCTTCTGCCGCAACTCGACCTTCAGAGACTTATGCGTCAACACAGAAAATAATTACCCTATTCTTTTGAAAAGGTTTTGGAAGATAAGCACAAGAGTAAAAAGAGTTTGCGTTGGTTAAGGTATTTGCTGCAGATAACAGCTAGTTAATCTCAAGAGAGAGATATTAGCCATTTCTATACTTATTTATGAAATGAGTCTTTGAGACTTGAACCACACCAAGGCTTAGAATGGAAAAACAATATGATCGAGAAGAGACCCGCTTATAATTTACCATGCTCAACAAAGGCACGATTCTCATCAATAATTTTTAAGTGTTTTGAAGTTATTTTGCAAGAAAAAGAATTTTTTGTTTTAATGGAAATGAAAAAGGGAAAAGAAAAGTCTAAGGGGTGACTAACCTAAATCTATCCCTAGTATTATCATACAACAATTGTTCCTAAAGTTGAGTTTAAAGGGTAATCTCCATCCTAAATTGACATACTTGGATTACAACCTAAAGTTTATTTAAGCCAATTTTAATCGACGGATTAAAATTGGACTAAAATCCTAAAGGAGTATAGTGGATATAAAAATAAGAACAAAATCACCCATAATTCGCATCAAGATAATTCCTCACAACGTAAAAAAATGAATTAAAACTAGTGATTAAAAATGCCTAAAAAGAATTAGTAAGAGGGGGAAAATAAATTCCTATTTAAATCCTAAATTCTAGTATATATTTTTTTTATTGTCCCATTTTGACCATTTTATTTATGTATTTTGTTACTAAAAAAAAGACGAGGAATTAAAACTAAAGTAGAAGTCATAAAGAGAAAACCAAAGAATCATGGGTGGAAATCCAAATCCTGGGATATCATTTCATAATCAGGCACCAAGGCCCAGCTAATAAAGTCCAAGAGATTTTTTTTGTTTCGAGACCAAAAAGTTCTTAACATGCTAAATAAAAACGGTACACGGGCTTGATGTTCAACAATCTACTAGTGGACTTAAGATTGAGAGGAAAATCCAGGCCCAACGAGTGAAGAGTCTCACGTGACTCAGTTCACTTTCATTTTCCTCTCTCCCACCCTAATCCCGAGCTACCAAACTACTGCCCCCGACATCGCTTCTCCATGAAAACAGAACAAAACCAACGTCTCTCCGTTCCTCTCCTCTCCTTGAACTTAAACCCTAACCTCGCTCTTTCCTACCTCTACACTAAAACTATCGCCTCACTATAATAATTCAAAACCCTAAGAGATGAACAAAGACCAAATTAACTGAAAATCATGTTGAATTTGAAGCAATAGCCATAGGGTAATCGTTCAGCATGCGTCAAGCTTCCCAACAATATCAAGAAATGGTAAAAACGATGAAGAAACAGAGGAGATTAAGGCTTACCTGCCGGAGACACTCCGACGTGTTCAGATGCAGTGAAGGCGATAAGAAAACCAGAGGATGATCTTCAGAAGCGTAAGTATGCGTACTTTACTTGATTCTTTGCTTTCCAATCCTTTCTCAATATTCTTCCTCCAATTCGATTCTTTTTCTTCTTCTACATTCTCTCGACCTTCCGTTTTCTGATAAGAGCGGATAACCAAAATACTGAGAAATCAATATTGCAGAGAATGCTCGGTGATTATGGTATGAAGTGTTGATGCATGATAAGGGTGGTTTGAGGTGCCGTGAAGGTTGAAAGATAGTTGAGGAATGAAGGAAAAGGTGGAAGGTTGAAGGTGACTGGAGAGAAGTTGAAAGTTGAAGGTGAAGGTGGAAGGTGAGAGTGGAAGGTGAGAGTGGAAGCTGAAGAATGAAGAGAAAAGATGAAAGTTTAATCTGATGGAGGGTATTATATAGGGGTTGATGAGGAAGAAGTTAGTTACAACTGAATAAATCTTGGATTTAGATCTCGATAGTTAGTTACAAGCATGAAGGGTTAGGATTGATCTATTATGAGAGTTAGTTATTGGTTAACTAGGATTTTATTTTAACAGTTATGGAATTGGTTAAGGGTAGTTATAGTTGGTTAGGAGCTTAGAATTTTGCTTTTACAATTATAGCGCTTAGAAATTCTATTACATATGTTGGAACTTCTAAATTCACCTTCTGATTCTTTTTTGATGTGTACATTGAGCTCGTACTTGATTTGTATCTGGTGACTGCATAATGGGATGAAATTATATTGTTCTTGGTTATTGGACTTTCAGGTTTTTTCTAGCTGAACAGGTTGTTATAAAAGGAATGGGTGAGGTGGATTTGATAGAGGTTCGAAAATCGGTTAGAGATTCTGTTAAGCTGTTAGTAGTTAGTTATGGACTGAAAAATTGTTTTGGTTTCAGTTAGTTTGGATTATGTTATAAACTGTTATAAGTTTCTTTTTGTGTCTTTTTCAAATGATCCAATTTTTTCCTATTTTCATCCACTCTCCCTGATTTGAATGTACTGATACTGAGTTGGATGTTCTGAATGAAACTCGTTTTTGAAGACTTTGCTGAGCTAGACTGGAATTTCTGATATTTTTTGAATTGGATTTTTAGCTGTTTATTGTAGGGATTACTTTATTGAATTATGCTTGTTTCCTTTGATTTGGCTTTATTTTAAATGTAATGAATGAACTGGTTTTCCGCCCTTTTGGATTAACATCAAATTATTTTGGATTATTGGATACTGAGCTGGCTGTTTCTCTGAACAGGTCAAAGCATAAGGTTAGTGAAAGTCACTTGGCCACGAAGAGTTTCAAGATCTGTATGGAAGGACCAAGGACACGGCTTGAAGAAAGGGTTGATTTTTGGTTGATGGCATGAAGATGGAGAGCATGGAAAGCTCTGTTTTATATTCTCACATGTGGTCTTTTGAAAATTCTTGCAATGTCCATGATATTTGTTATTTGAGCTTCTTGCTTTATTATTGGTGTAATGATTTTAATTTGTAAATGACAATGGTGTACTCTAACACTTGAATTTTGAATGAGGAGGTTTTGGATGAGATTTGGATGGATTCTGAATAAGTTTTTCTTGACATTTTGAATGAAATTATAGCTCTTGATTATGAATGTGGTTTGAAATCCTTTGAATTCAATATTAATCTTATCAAGTATTCAAAAAGTGTTTGCTTTTCTCCTTCAATTTAAATTTGAATTTGACTCAATTGCTTTTGGACTTGTAATTGAATACTCATTTCTTTAATCCTGAAACATCGTTGATAGAATAATGATGAATATTGTGGACTTTGATGATGAATGTATTTGAACCATGATTTTGCAATATTCTTTCTTTTTTTCCCAATATTTCATGCTTATCATGACTCGACAGTATCAATGAATGGAAATACCAATGTACCAAAACTTCTTCCAATTCTCCCTTTTACATCTAGAGCTTTCTTCTTGGTTTTGAAAAAAAGAATGAATCTCGAATGAAACTTGAATTCTTATGAACCTTGTTTGAACCAGGAATCTTGAATCTCAATCAAACTTTATTCCATGTTTTCACCAATGGATCCATATACGGAAGCTCCAATAGCTTAAACTTGACTCTGAGATGATCTTGTATCAAATGCACAACATTTTCTTGTAAAGCACATAACCAAATGAACCATTCTTCTCATGACGTTTCACAAAAAAACCCTAATTGTGAAATGCACCACATGAGTACTATGCAACTAAAACCTTAAGATCCACCCGATAACCACTAACACAACAGGGGAATCCCTGTCTATGATTTAATCTCAAAATCCAATATACTGTTCTTGAAACAACCATTATGCAAAATCCCATCTTGTGATCGATGATTCTTGAAGAAGAACCTCTATTAGAGTACAATAGCTGAAAAAGTCCCGATCTTTGCTCGCACATAGAGAAATAAACCCTAATAGCCTTGTAGCTTGATGAAGAAAGAAATTCTCAATGACCACGACTCACAACCCTAAATCTCGACCTCACTTCTTGAATAAGAAATCAGCCTTTATTGGATACGAACGCCTTAAGCACTGTGAAACCCAAATATTGCACGACCACTGAACTTTGAACCTCATATCTACATTGAATGAAATGTATGCCATGTCAGTGACCTAAAGATGCGAATATGGATGAATGCAAAAGTCTAAGCTAGATAAAAGAATTTAGGAGGGAATATTTTGGGGTGCAACAGCTGCCCCTATTTAATCGTCTTCAACCTAAAGGTGAGATTAGCATCATCCTTTCGAACTTTCAAGGTGGAAGAAGATTAAATACTTAAAAGAACCCGGAAATTTGCGCTCCGAAGCCAGTCAGATATTATTATATTTTTTGGTTTTCTATGTTTTCTATTTTTCTTCTTCCTTTTTTGGATTATAATGGTTATCTGAGTAAATCTCTTGGATGTCAGGTCAAGGTTAGACATACACAAGAAAGAGACCGGCCGCATAAGGCTCTGCCGAAGGAACGCCAGTCGAAGGCGAACTTTAAAGAAAAGAGACCAAACGAATGAGACTCCTGACAAATGATACCAGCCGGAGGTGGATTTTAAGGGCGCCATTCGAAGGTGGACTTCAAGATAAAGAAACCAGCCGAAGGGGAATCTTCATCAAGGAATACTATGCCGAAGGTAGATTCCTTAGAAAAGAACGCCGATCAAAGGAGAACTTGCAAATGAAAAGAGACCAGCCGAAGGTGACTCTCAACAAAAGGTACCACCCAAAGGTGGATTTTAAGGGTGCCAGCTGAAGGTGGACTTCAAGATAAAGAAACCAGCCGAAGGGGAATCTTCATCAAGGAATACTACGCCAAAGGTAGATTCCTAAGAAAAGAACTTCGATCAAAGGCGAACTTGCAAATGAAAAGAGACTAGCCAAAGGTGACTATCAACAAAAGGTACAAGCCGAAGGTGGATTTTAAGGGTGCCAGCCAAAGGTGGACTTCAAGGTAAAGAAACCATCCGAAAGGAAATCTTCATCAAGGAATACTATGCCGAAGGTAGATTCCTAAGAAAAGAACACCGATCCAAGGCAGACTCACAGGGGATAAAGTTATGCATGTCTGGTCAGAGTTAGACACACAACAACAAAATTGAGCATCAAGAACAAATGTTCGGAGTTGATAGCAAACACAAGAACGAGACTAACCGAAGAAAGCCCCAATAAGAAAGGATGCATTCACTTAGCAAGGACGCCATACAACTGGACTTTAAAGAGACACTAAAAAACTCTTAACAGAGGAGGTTAGCTAAGATAATGAAAGGAGAACTCGACTAACACAGGTAAACCAAAGACAAGGAACTGACTAAGCAGGACCTTCAAAGAGTACCGATCGAAGGCGAACTCTACAAGAGAAAGAGACCGATCAAAACAGACTCTAACAAGGATTTCCAAAACACGTTGGGCTTTCGATAGGTTGCAAATATGCAAGAATTACAAAATCCCCCAGGCCAAAGGCAGGGTGTAATTCTTCAAGAGTGGCAATTACCTGAATTACCACACACCAAATATGGATACTCAAATACTTGAGAAATAAGAAAGGTTATACACCAACTCTTACTCGCACTCTAACCTCAAAGAAAACACAGGTAAAATAACCAAAGGCTTGCAAGGGTAAGCGCAAACCACAAACTTACTGGGTATTCCCATATGTATTGAACCCAAACAGAACGGCAGTCGAAGGCGGACTTGTGATTAGAAAAAAAGGCCAACTATAAGGACTCTAAACAAGGATTGCCAACACGCGTTGGGCTTTAAAAGTTTGCAAATACGTAAGAACTACGAAATACCTCTGGCCAAAGGCGGGGAGTAATTCTTCAAGAGTGGCAGTTATCTGAATTACCACATACCAAGTATGGATACTCAAATACTTGAGAAGCAAGAAAGGCTATACACCGTGTTGCACCCCAAAATTTTCCCTCCCATTTTACTCAAGGAATGCTCATTAAGGTCCTCAATTGCTAAAGGTTGACCAAGAATTGATCAGACAAATTCTCCTCCTAAGCAATGGCCTTTCAACTAGTTTCACTTTTCACCAAGATGTGTGAGCTCCAAAGGTCTCAAATATTTTCCATGGTCCTAATATGTATTCAAGTTTGTCCATGCCAAGTTTCATTCCCTACAACTTCTCTTTTATCCTCAAGCTCAAGAAATGCATCATTTGGAAGGTACAAGCTCATACATTACAGGAGGTTATTGCACCCTATACGCCTCAACATAATGGCATAACTGAAAGAAAGAATAGAAGTGTACTGAACTTGACGAGATGTAAGTTGAAAGCTAAAAGTATGCCTAAGAGATTTTGGGTCGAAGCAGCTTCGACAGCAATATACATTATGAATAGATGCTCAACAAAGAGGATGGTCGAAAAGACACTGCATGAGGCTTGGACAGGGTCGAAGCCGAATATAAGTCATCTAGAGTTTTTTTTAGATCAATTTGTTTCAGACATGTACCTGAACAATTGAGAAAGAAGCTGGTTGGTCGAAGTGAAGTCATGGTGCTCATAGGTTATCCTTTGACTGGTGCATACAAGTTGTATTCAATGATTGAAGATAAACTACTGATAAGTAGAGATGTTCTTAAAGACGAAAGCAAAAGGTGCGATAGGAGTCGAAGTTTAGTTCGACAAGAATCAGACACAATCCCAACTGTGTTTGAAGGAGATGAACAGAACGAAGATCCGACAAGTCAATATGAACAAGTTGATACTTCGACTGGTCGAATCGAAGAACCATCTGTGCAATTGTGTTCGAAAGAGATGAACAGAACGAAGCTTCGACAAGTCAAAATGAACAAGTTGATACTTCAACTAGTCGAATCGAAGAACCAGCTGTGGAACTGTGTTCAAAGGAGATGAACAGAATGAAGCTTCAACCATTCAAAATGAACAAGTTGATACTTCGAATGGTCAAATCGAAGAACCACCTGTGCAACTTTGTTCGAAGAAGATAAACAAAATGAAGCTTCAACAATTCAAAATGAATAAGGTGATACTTCGACTGGTCAAATTGAAGAACCACATGTGTAGAAGGAAAGAAGATCCACAAGAAAAAGAACCGAGTTCGACTAGGCTAATTGGATATGAGAGGTTTCTAGATCAAGCAATTGATGCAGATGGTGGCTTAATCGGAGAAGCCATGATGGTGAAGCCTTGAGCAATTCGAATTGGTGTGAAGTCATGAAAGAAGAACTTAGAGCCATCGAAAAGAACAAAACTTGGGAGCTTGTCGAAAGAAACAATAAGAAACCAATTAATGTGAAATGGATCTACAAGGGCATGTAAGCTTTTAGTTTCCATCAAGTTGGAGGCCCAAACAACTCATAGCAAGCTGGCAAAAATGCATAAAATAGATTGGCACATGATTGGATCAAATATAACAAGTTTCATGCAAAAATCAAATTAAATCTCTCCATAATAATGTACAAAGATATGATGCACAATTATTGACCTAAACCCTTTATCTATATAAACCTAATAGTCTCAGATGCAAGGGACACACACACATTGCCTATCAAAGCTCCACGAAAAAATAATCAAAGTTGTGAAACACCTAAAATCCTTCCTCCATCCAAACCAGTGCTACATTCGCATTTCTGATATTCCCATGATTCAGCCCAGGCCTCCTCCACACGCGAAAAGCCCTAGAATCCCTGGATCATGTTACTCCGGTCAGGTACAAAATTTTGATCTTGGACCTTTAATTTCTCACGTTGTAAACTATTTCTAAGTATCCATATATACTCATACTAATGCTTGGGATGATTTAGGATCTGTTCTTTTGAGTTTCAATGCAGGAAGCATAAGGTGCCATTGTTATGGCACGATTTAGAAATGATGGTTAAAT